CAGAAGGGTTAGAGTCCCACAGAAGGGTTAGAGTCCCACAGAAGGGTTAGAGTCCCACAGAAGGGTTAGAGTCCCACAGAAGGGTTAGAGTCCCACAGAAGGGTTAGAGTCCCACAGAAGGGTTAGAGGCCCATAAGAATAGAGAAACCATGGTGTAAACATAAAAGCAATAAAAAGGGAAACGTGTTAAGGAGGCCTTTTGTCACAAAAAGTTTTGTAATTAACCAATTCCAAGCTTGATAAATGACAAAAGTAAAGAAGCAACAATATTTCAGTGATCACGGTTTAAATTACATACAGAAAAAGGGAGTTTTTGTTTTTGGCGTGAACAGAGTTCACCGGAGAATGCAGAGTGTGAGTTATTTACATTTTTTTTGCCGAGTTTTATCTACAGTTAAGCTATGAGAGCTTTGTTATGCTCTTATGAGCTTTGTTTTTTAGAAAGAGATTTTGAGTTTAAATTAGTTTGCTACCTCGATAAAATAGAAGCGTAAACGTTAAAGACAAGAGTGCCTTTTGTTACTAGTGTGGAAAGTGATCACTTCTAGATTTGGATGACAAAAGTATAAAGAACAACATAAGTTATATTCGCTTAACAAAGTAATCTTGAAAGTTATTCTTCTGTATCTTTCTGCCTGTGTGTGCGCCGCTCTATCTTGCTGCCGTTGTCAGGGAAACGGCCCCCTCCTTCGCTGCTCTGGCTCTGAATCAGAGCAAAGCTACTGCTTTTAGGATTTAGGCTTTTCATAGTTGTTATTCAGTTAAATTTGCGAAATTTGCAATTGAACCTTGTGTTATGACACAGTTAAACGTTTTTAAACACCATTAGTGAATAAGTTTTGAATATTATGTTTTTTGAAACCCAAATATTAGTGCTAAAGCTTTGCTTTTCTTTTTAAATCTGCTGCTTATTTGTGAGTCCATTATTGTATCTCTGATATATTTCATAGCTGTTTGTGAGAATTTTTTTATGTTTTTATTTTAGTTACAAAAGCCATTTTTCAAACATTTAAATTAGAATCTGTGTTAAAAGTGATTATTGATTATAGACTTCGTCTAAAAAGAAAGAGGGAATTAGGCTGTAAAAGTATTATTAAGTTAAACTACTCAATTCACATGCAAGTGGCGACTTTTGTTTTTGTTTTGACTACACGCCTGACCTTACTCCTGCTGATGCCACAGCAGAGGAGACTGGTCTGAAATGTGCTCCAAATTCATAGTGACTTAATTTGAAAAATGCTGCAATTATTTTAAATTAGTAAAATATATGCTGAGATAAATGCATAGATAATTAAACACAGTACAAAAGTATATAATACATAGTTTAAAGTTTAAAAAGGTTTTTTTAGATTTGAGTCTTGTTTTTTTATATTAAGAGTTTCTGGTCTTAAAAATGTCATCATTAGTAAGATAATAAGTAATCTTTTATTTACATAGCGCATGTGGGAAAACCCAGAGCGCTCCAAAATTGTTTTGACTTTAGGGAGAAAAACAATCTCATTCGCATACTGATATCTATTGTTTTTTTAAATTGGCCATCTCAAGGATTGTTTTTCAGACTCTGCCTCACTGTACGAGAGGTCACTGCTGGACACTGGACACCAAAGCCCACCCAGCCACAGGTCACAGATCAAAGAGCAAAGGAAAATGCCACCTCCTTGCCCCTCCCCACGCCACTACAGAGCTGAGTGGGTGTGAGAGAGACCGGGGCCATGAAAGAGAGGTATCTGGAGACGTGATGGGTGGAGCATCAGGTAGCGACCTAGAGGCAGTTGAAAGTGTGTCCACGTGTTTGCATCACCACAGTGTGACCTTTGACACCTACAGGTGGTTCGAGGAGTCTGGAGACACAACCCCAAAATTCACATACACACACACACATACATTCATACACTCACACATTCACATTTACATATAGATACATGAAAAAGCAGAACATGAGAAAAAAGCATTTTAAAAGTTTACTCCAATGTAAACATATTTTTAATTGTCTATCACTTGAATCAGTATTTTTTGGGACCAGAAATGTTCATTTGAATTCTATATTGTCATGGACTTAAAGGTATACAAGAGGATTTTCTACTTCCGGGTGGATCATCAACACTATTGGTCCTCCCAAATGTCAATCATTCTGTTTATACGTCCTTGTCCTATAAGAGCAGAGAGTTTTGTTCAAAAAGTAGAAAGGGCGGTTCTTTCCTAAAATATGGGAAAATCCTCCTTTATACCTTTAATTGACGTCTGTCCTGACACTTTTGATTTGTTGATTTTGTACTGTGTGAAGTAATTACATTGATTAGAATTAGATCTGATAAAAACACAAATTAGAGAAGTAAAATGAATCATTGCGCTTGCTTTTGTCTGAGAGACATTAGCAACAGCAGGAATAGAAATTGTGTTAAAGTAGAATCAAAATGACTTAACCATAGAGAGTAACTACTGCATAACAAGCTGTGTACAGGAACTGTGAGACTGCACCATTGACCAGAAGTGCATCGCAAATGACCTGATGTGCTTCAACTGAAAAGACTGTATCTGGAGATCCTGATGTGCATCTGGAGAGACCAGAACCATGGCTTGGACCCTACTGATGTCCAAGATAACATCTCTCTATGACCTGACCTGATGACGACTGAGACTCACCCTCAGAGGACTCTGAGGATCTGAGGATCTGAGAGAGAAAACTGGGGAGTGATGTTTATATTATTGAAATAATGCCATTGATGAGTGCTAAATGAGAGAGATACTCATGATTCTTTCTTTTGTTTTTGTTTGTCCCTAGCTTCTGGACATCTGATGATCTATTGGACACAGCCATTTGCAGAACAAGAACCAGCCAATGAAAACGTCTATTGCCGATGCTATTGCTACAACCAGAACCTGTGACCAAATGCAATATACATGTTAAGTATTCAGACATCTGACAGACAAAAACTTTGACTTTTTTAGTCTGGGAGACTGAGCAACTGTTAAAATGTTTTAAAATGATAAAGTATGAGTATTGTAGCGTTTTAGTAGATGTTAAATAGTAGTAAAAAAGTAGAATTTGACTTCCTTTGTTGTTCATAAACACATTTCCACATAAGAGTTAAAATAGTACCATACAATGTTATCCTTCTGATAGATCAGCTAGAATATTAGAATCAGAGTTATGTTACAGCCATTGAAAGTGACAGAAGTCACAAATTAGGAATATGCCTTTGCTCAAACTGCAGCCAAACTTTGGAGTCACAATAGTGTAAAAATAGAGATAGATAAATGCATCAACCATAGATGCTTTCAAAAATAGAGAATATTCTTAGCCAGTGCTAATATCAAATGGTAAAGGGACCATTTCACAAACCTTTACTTCAAAAGTAGATAAAGTTAATTACAGTTTATGTACAGTTTTATTAGATACTTGCCAAATTCACTTGTGTTCAAACATGAGTGAATGTTGACAATACAAAAAGTTCATATGAGTGTAGCCTAGATTAATGCCTAGATCAATGAGATAGATTAGAACCAACAGAGATTCAAAAGCATTTTGATGTATTTGGGTATAGCATAAAAACAAAATAGTAGATATTTGGATATCTTTGAGAAGTTTAAAAAGCTGTAGATTCATCAGCACAGATTAGAATCAGAATTCAAACACCATTGTAGAATAACTGACCCCAACCCCAAACCTGCTCAAATAGATTAGCTCTTGTAAGGATAGTTCCAATTTGATTAAAGATGTACATTCATCCCAAACTGATAATGAGAGTATAATACCACAGAGAGATTTATTAGATTAAAATGTATGTTTAAGAATATGGCTCAATAGAAGCAAATATGCAAACATATTTGTAAATAGATTAGAATACTTTTACTATTCACTATAGTTTAAAACTAAAGTACACAGTCTAAGATTAAAAAGTGAAAATAATACAGTGAAATAAGTGAAGTGTAGTGTAAACAATTAGCATTAGAATAAAAGTATAGAGTAATAAAAGTGAAATTAGCTTCAAATTTGAGACTCAGCTCGTTTTTGTCTGTGTTTTGACTGAATCTGCTGAGTTCTTGTGTGTCCAATAGTTTTTGTTTGTTTTTATTTTTGTTTGTTTTTATTTTTGATTTGTTTGTTTGTTTTTGTTTGTTTATTTTTTCCCAGGATAGAGGATAAAATCCACTGATATTGATTTGATGATTATGAGTTTAATGCATACATTTTCTTTGTTTTTAATAATTTTTTGAAGTTTTTTTTTTGAATTTTTTTTTTTCTTTTTCCATTTTATTGATTGATCGATTTGAGTGATCACATGTGATTATGTGATCAAAGGGGAGGGTGTTAGTATTAGATAGCAATATGGCCTACGTGCAGGACTGTACAAGGACTCTACAAGGACTCCATGTTATGACTATGATGTGACTGTCTCTTTGTGACACGTATGTCTTTCGATGTGTGACGTGACAATGACTATATAAACTGTGTACTGCCTTTATTCTGTCTGAGAGAAAGAAACAGAGTAAACCAGTGGAACTTGAGAGAAACTTAAATAAACTTCCAGAGTTTGGCACACCACGATCCGTCTCTGTCTGCTTAAATCCTTACACTACTACTGCTACTACTACTGCTACTGCTACTACTAAATATTTGTATAACTTAATGTTAAGAGACCAATATTCTCTTATGTATAACTTTATTCACAGTTTCTTTACTATTATCAATAAGAGGAATAGCTCTTTGAGATGAACCATCGTGTCTCGAGGGGTCCTCAGTTCAAATAAAATAAAACCCAGCAAGACAGTAGAGCAGAGTAACAAAATATTAGACAAAGACAAAAAAACGAAGACAGAAATAATGATAATAAAATGAACAATAATAACCCATTATCACACACACTCTCGATATTCCAGCTGTAATCATACTGAGACTGTAGGACTTAAAGGGTACTTTTACTTCACAAGGGCAAAGGGTATGAATACTTTAGCAAGTCATGTCAACTCTTCAGATACAGTGATGTGTGTGGACTCACAGGTAATTCAGAAGGCTCCGGAAGAAACTCGGCATCTTCTCCAAATATAAAGTCAGGAGGAAGCTCTGGGTATTGTGCGTTAAATATAATATCCCCTAAAACAAGAGAAAAAACATCATTATGACAGGAGTGTGAGGGTTGAAGGTTAGTCATGCCATGTGATGGTTTTAATTCTCCACGGCTCAAAAAGGGGACCGGTGGGGAACACTGGTCTATGGTATTCTTGTGTTTCATTAAACTGGCCTGTAGGGGGCGCATGAGCAGAGGTGGGACAACTTAGTCTTGCTCCTGTGCGGTGTACGGTTGTTGGCACAGTCTTAATCGGGGACACTCAATTCTAAGGGAGTGCTAACAAACATTTCTCAAAAGAATCTTGATTTCGGGCATTTTTGGAAAGATTAAACAGAAGAAATTGCTGCGTTTCATTGGGGTGGCCTGCAGGGGGCGCTTATCTGGGAAAGCCTTGATCCACCTCGCCCGCCTCATTCCAGTGGTTTTTTCAAAGTGTCCTCCTTTATATGAGACCACAGTTGGAACATGAACAAACTCTTGTCTTTCTCTCTGTTTGTGCGGTTGCTACAAACGTACACCGCACAAAAAGATGCTTCTTCTTCTACTATATCTCCGTGTATAAACCACTTCTTCTTCTACTATATCTCCGTGTATAAACCCGGCAGACTGCACCCCCAGGATACGCCATGTCCTGTCCTACTGTATAATGTTGTATGTCTTTTTAATTAAAAATGTAATTGTTTTTTTAGAGCTTTATAAATAAACTGAATGGACTGAACTGTTATTGATTCTATTGACGAAGCCTCCAAAACCACATGTCCTAAATGTAACCATTATGTTCCCAAAGCTCATTACATTTTTTTCTTGAAATGGTTTTGAGCCCATATGAGATTTACCTGTGTATATGTTAAAGCTACATAGTAATTAAAAATGTTTTGGTTCATACATTTATCTTATTGTCCATTGAAGTTAGATACAGTAGACCCATGGTACGGACTAGCGTGAAGTGAGACATTTAGTAGGGCTGCACCATATTGGAAATTAGAGCGATATTCGATATGAGTGGTTAGTAATGCGATAACGATATTATTGTGATATCTTTGTCTTTCAGAGACGAATAACAAGAAACAAGCACAACATTAATGACATTCAAATGCATATATTTGTTTACTTTGTTTGTTGTTCTTGTTGAATGCTGATGTATTTTTTTTCCATTATTAAAGACAACAAAACAAAGAATTATTGCGCATCTTTTCGATACAGAAATCGCAAGCACCAATAACAATATTTTTTTGATATTTTGTGCAGCCGTTGTCCATAAATGTATCTTATTAGTGTGGAGTGAGACTTTAGTTTTAATATTTTAGCGATGAGTGTCAGGGTTAGGGACAAACAGAGTTGGTTCTTACATTTTAAGGTCTCTCCGGCGTAAGGGATGTGGAGCTTGAAGCGATCACAGCACGGAGCAGGAGTCAGAGAAGTGCATCTGATCACACACAATCTGCAGTTAGTGTCTATCCTGTCAGCTGTATGGAGCTACACACACTTATGATTACACACAATCTGCAGTTAGTGTCTATCCTGTCAGCTGTATGGAGCTACACAAACTTATGATTACACACAATCTGCAGTTAGTGTCTATCCTGTCAGCTGTATGGAGCTACACACACTTATGATTACACACAATCTGCAGTTAGTGTCTATCCTGTCAGCTGTATGGAGCTACACACACTTATGATTACACACAATCTGCAGTTAGTGTCTATCCTGTCAGCTGTATGGAGCTACACAAACTTATGATCACACACAATCTGCATGGAGCTACACATACTTATGATCACACACAATCTGCATGGAGCTACACATACTTATGATCACACACAATCTGCATGGAGCTACACACACTTATGATCACACACAATCTGCATGGAGCTACACACACTTATGATCACACACAATCTGCAGTTAGTGTCTATACTGTCAGCTGTATGGAGCTACACACACTTTTGATCACACACAATCTGCATGGAGCTACACACACATTTATGATCACACACAATCTGCATGGAGCTACACACATTTATGATCACACAAAATCGGTATGGAGCTACACACACTTATGATCACACACAATCGGTATGGAGCTACACACACTTATAATCACACACAATCTGCAGTGATGTAGTTTGTCATGAGATTATTTTATTAGTTTTAAAATACTTCATAATCGCAGAGAAAAAAAGTCTGAGCAGTGAGTTTTTAAGCTGGTTTTAAGTATTTTTTCTTATTTCCAGACTTTTCTTGTTTAGATAAAATAAGTTTGTGATGCGGTATTCTAAGAAAACTCAAAAACGTTTAAAAAAACACTTGAAATGTATGTTTTTAAACTAGAATCACGTCATTTCCAAGTCTGTGACAAGTCTGTAACTTGACAAACTCCTCGGCAACCACAGACAAACTCCTCGGCAACCACAGACAAACTCCTCGGCAACCACAGACAAGCTCCTCGGCAACCACAGACAAACCCCTCGGCAACCACAGACAAACTCCTTGGCAACCACAGACAAACCCCTCGGCAACCACAGACAAACCCCTCGGCAACCACAGACAAACCCCTCGGCAACCACAGACAAACCCCTCGGCAACCACAGACAAACCCCTCGGCAACCACAGACAAACTCCTAGGAAACCACAGACAAACTCCTTGGCAACCACAGACAAATTCCTTGGCAACCACAGACAAACTCCTTGGCAACCACAGACAAACTCCTCGGCAACCACAAACAAACTCCCTGGCAACCACAAACAGACTCCTTGGCAACCACAAACAAACTCCTTGGCAACCACAAACAAACTAATTGGCAACCACAAACAAACTCCTTGGCAACCACAGACAAACTCCTTGGCAACCACAAACAAACTCCTTGGCAACCACAGACAAGCTCCTCGGCAACCACAGACAAACCCCTCGGCAACCACAGACAAACTCCTTGGCAACCACAGACAAACCCCTCGGCAACCACAGACAAACCCCTCGGCAACCACAGACAAACCCCTCGGCAACCACAGACAAACCCCTCGGCAACCACAGACAAACCCCTCGGCAACCACAGACAAACTCCTAGGAAACCACAGACAAACTCCTTGGCAACCACAGACAAATTCCTTGGCAACCACAGACAAACTCCTTGGCAACCACAGACAAACTCCTCGGCAACCACAAACAAACTCCCTGGCAACCACAAACAGACTCCTTGGCAACCACAAACAAACTCCTTGGCAACCACAAACAAACTAATTGGCAACCACAAACAAACTCCTTGGCAACCACAGACAAACTCCTTGGCAACCACAAACAAACTCCTTGGCAACCACAAACAGACTCCTTGGCAACCACAGACAAATTCCTTGCCAACCACAAACAAATTCCTCGGCAATTACAGACAAACTCCTCGGCAACCACAGACAAACTCCTCGGCAACCACAAACAAACTAATTGGCAACCACAGACAAACTCCTTGGCAACCACAAACAAACTCCTTGGCAACCACAGACAAATTCCTTGGCAACCACAAACAAATTCCTCGGCAACTACAGACAAACTCCTCGGCAACCACAGACAAACTCCTTGGCAACCACAGACAAATTCCTTGGCAACCATTTGTCCAGAAGAGACCGTTTTATAAATTAGTCCAGTTTCCTAAAGTTTATTTTTTTAAACAAACCTGATCCTTTGAATGAAGTTTGTTCCATATTTTCAGATCCACATTTGATTCAGAGATTCTTTATTTTGAATTTTTTTACACTTTTGGGATGTTTAGAAAGATATTGACAGAAACCATCACGTCCGTAACAGATTGTTCAGGATCATTAAAATTTGTATCGATATATATTAATTTTGTTTCATGCACCACTGAGAGTTTACTTGTTGGTTCTGTGTCTGTGTGGTTTGGAAACATCACAGATAAAGAAAAGAGAGCTTTAAACAAGGTGCTCCGCTCTGCAAAGAGGACCGTGGGCTGTGAGCTTCCTGTTCTGGAGGTTCTTTATAACTCCAGACTTTTAAACAAAGCTCTTAAAATCATCAATGACTCTTCTGGCCACCCTGGGAAAGCCATGTTCCAGCTTCTTCCCTCTGGCAGAAGATATCGGTCGCTGAGATGCAAGACATCTCGCTATGCTAACAGCTTCTTTCCACAGACTGTCAGGTGCCTAAACAGAGCACTTTAATTCCTGCTTTTACCCCTTGTATCGTTTTGTTGATCGGTGCCACAGTGTCTGCTGTTTTTTTATTCTTTTATTTTCAGTGTTTGTGTATTTTATATTACATTGTATCGTGCTCTTTATTCTGTCGGTGCACAGAGTACCTTTTTTGCAAATGTATTCCAATGTAGTTTTTATACTGCACATGGCTAATAAAAAGAATCTGAATGATTTCTTTGAGTGATTTCAGGATGTTGTGTTAATGTTAATCACAGAATGATCCAATCGGAGGCTGATCTGGTTTTAAAATGGCATTTGTCAATCTTTCCTTTTGATTTTATCCACACTATCTCTTTGATATGTCTGTGTTTGGAACCTTTTTTTCTAATCTATGAAAGTTAATGTTGTTTTGAGTTATAACCTTTTAAAGTCCAGATACTTTAATAAACACTTTACTGTGAACACATTTTTATTCTTAAATATCTCTGCAGTGTCACAATATGGGCTTCTCTCTAGATCCAATCTTGTGTAAATAAATTAAATCAACACAGATGTATAACAGACATTCTTTAGTCTCTGAACCCTCAAAGACACACATCAAAACTTACGGTATTACCCTTCCGGTCCGTCCTATAAAAAGTCCCTGTATAATACAAATATAGTTCCGCTACAAAACAAAACAAACATTATTGATGTTTAAACTAATATGATTGACTCTATATCTATATTTTTACATTCCTATGTTGACTTGATTAAAGTCATTAATTCAGTGTTCATCAGTGTTGTTATTAAGATCACACTGCAGGAACTTTTGTTTTAGTTGTACATCACGGTCCGAAAAAAGAGGTGCACCAAGTCAACATGGCCGCTTCCTCTGCGTCTGCGCAGCGTGCGGACAACACCAGTGAAGAAATACACCCAATAAAGCACAACATGGACCCTGAGGCTGAGGCAACAGAGGAAGAAACTCCCGAAACAAAAGTTTTATCCGAAACACGGACCGAGTCAAAGGAAGTGTCTTTTAAAAAGCCAGTGTTCGCAGCTCCTTCTCTGTCCAAGCGAAGCGCAGTCAGGTCCGGGTCTGAGGCGAGGAAAGAGGACACAGTCAGGTCCGGGTCTGAGGCGAGGAAAGAGGACACAGTCAGGTCCGGGTCTGAGGCGAGGAAAGAGGACACAGTCAGGTCCGGGTCTGAGGCGAGGAAAGAGGACACAGTCAGGTCCGGGTCTGAGGCGAGGAAAGAGGACACAGTCAGGTCCGGGTCTGAGGCGAGGAAAGAGGACACAGTCAGGTCCGGGTCTGAGGCGAGGAAAGAGGACACAGTCAGGTCCGGGTCTGAGGCGAGGAAAGAGGACACAGTCAGGTCCGGGTCTGAGGCGAGGAAAGAGGACACAGTCAGGTCCGGGTCTGAGGCGAGGAAAGAGGACACAGTCAGGTCCGGGTCTGAGGCGAGGAAAGAGGACACAGTCAGGTCCGGGTCTGAGGCGAGGAAAGAGGACACAGTCAGGTCCGGGTCTGAGGCGAGGAAAGAGGACACAGTCAGGTCCGGGTCTGAGGCGAGGAAAGAGGACACAGTCAGGTCCGGGTCTGAGGCGAGGAAAGAGGACACAGTCAGGTCCGGGTCTGAGGCGAGGAAAGAGGACACAGTCAGGTCCGGGTCTGAGGCGAGGAAAGAGGACACAGTCAGGTCCGGGTCTGAGGCGAGGAAAGAGGACACAGTCAGGTCCGGGTCTGAGGCGAGGAAAGAGGACACAGTCAGGTCCGGGTCTGAGGCGAGGAAAGAGGACACAGTAAACAGCACAGACCTGCTCACAGACGCAGTCACTAAACCTCCGGACACTCAGCCCGAAGCCAAGCCTAAAGTGCAGGTTAGTGCCCAGAGTCAGAACTAAACATGGGGAGGCTGCTTTTCAGATTCATGCTGCTAAAATCTGGAACAGTCTTCCTGAAGATGTGAGACAGGCCTCCTCAATGACTATGTTTAAAACCAGGTTAAAAACAGTTCTGTTTAGCTGTGCTACAACTGAGGGATTTTATATTTTTATCTTTCGTTTAAATGTTCTGTGATTATTTATGATTTTAATGCTTTCTTGTTTTGTTCAGCACTTTGAGTTGCCTTGTGTATGAATTGTGCTATACAAATAAACTTGCCTTGCCTTGCCAGGTGAAATGTCCCCCGCCTGGAACACACCCCCCTCTGCCTTACACCGAACCCGCTTGGGGCAGCATGGTTCCGGACGTCTCTTACTCTATAGAAATCCTCAAAAACGGATCCATTGTAAACACTATTCCGCTCAAGGACAAGAGCTTCTTCGTTGTGGGCCGTCTGCCGGTGTGTGAGGTCGCCTTGGAGCACCCGTCCATCTCACGGTACCACGCCATCATCCAGTACCGAGGGGAGTCCGGGGAAACGGGCTCTGTGGGCGAGGAGCGGGGCTTCTATGTGCACGACCTGGGCAGCACGCACGGAACTGTCGTAAACAAGAACAAGATCCCGCCAAAGACCTTCATCAGACTCAGAGTGGGTCATGTGATCAAGTTCGGCGGGAGTACCAGGCTTTTTATTCTGCAGGTAAGATGCAGAATGAACAGAACATTAGTCACACAACTGTATCTCACGGGAAGACCAGAGAGAGACCAGAGAGAGACCAGAGAGAGACCAGAGAGAGACCAGAGAGAGACCAGAGAGAGACCAGAGAGAGACCAGAGAGAGACAAGAGAGAGACAAGAGAGAGACAAGAGAGAGACAAGAGAGAGACCAGAGAGAGACCAGAGAGAGACCAGAGAGAGACAAGAGAGAGACCAGAGAGAGACAAGAGAGAGACCAGAGAGAGACCAGAGAGAGACCAGAGAGAGACCAGAGAGAGACAAGAGAGAGACCAGAGAGAGACCAGAGAGAGACCAGAGAGAGACCAGAGAGAGACCAGAGAGAGACCAGAGAGAGACAAGAGAGAGACAAGAGAGAGACAAGAGAGAGACAAGAGAGAGACAAGAGAGAGACCAGAGAGAGACCAGAGAGAGACCAGAGAGAGACCAGAGAGAGACCAGAGAGAGACCAGAGAGAGACCAGAGAGAGACCAGAGAGAGACCAGAGAGAGACAAGAGAGAGACCAGAGAGAGACCAGAGAGAGACAAGAGAGAGACAAGAGAGAGACCAGAGAGAGACCAGAGAGAGACCAGAGAGAGACCAGAGAGAGACCAGAGAGAGACCAGAGAGAGACCAGAGAGAGACCAGAGAGAGACCAGAGAGAGACCAGAGAGAGACCAGAGAGAGACCAGTGAGAGACCAGTGAGAGACCAGTGAGAGACCAGAGAGAGACCAGAGAGAGACCAGAGAGAGACCAGAGAGAGACCAGAGAGAGACCAGAGAGAGACCAGAGAGAGACCAGAGAGAGACCAGAGAGAGACCAGAGAGAGACCAAAGATGTTTGATGAAAACATTTAAATGCCATTGAAATTAAAGGTTTAAAGGAGGATTTTCTACTTCCGGGTGGATCATCAAGGCTATTGGTCCTCCCAGGTGTCAATCATTCTGGTGCTACACGCTCGTCAAATAAGACCAGAGAGTTGTATACCTGCAGCGAACTTAGGAGAGGTTTTCTAGCATTTTGTAGTTAAATCAAAATGTTAAATGTCATGCAATGTTGTGCATGTTCTGAAATGTGCATTATCTTGTCAGTTAACTACTTATTTCTTCAGTCTTTTAAAAGATTGAAACGTTCCTGAATTACTATGTCTTTACTGAGCTACACCTGTTAATCCTGACATTGGACAGCCCTAGATTCTTACACGTGATTTCAGTTACGCACATGAAATAAGATAGTATTTCTTGAAAAAACAAAGGGTAAGGAGTGCTGTGTGATACAAGCGTGGAGTTTAGTTTAGTTATTTATTTAAAAGGACAACGGACAGGTACATTAAAAAGATGGCTGCCCCAGATTTAGCACAATGCTAATTTCCATCTGTAGTCCTTATACAATCAAAAATACAATTACAGTACATAGCAGAGTTAATTAAAATACAAAACATAGACAATAAACATGCAATATATAGTAAAAGTGCAGATGAAAAGTGCCACAGTTGCATTCATAAAGTGCAGAATGACAAAGTGCAACAGTTTTTTGGAGTGGGCTCTTTATGATTTGTTTTTTTTTACCTGGAAAGTCAACACTCCACTAAGATCAGATAAAGTTTGTTGATAGTAGAAAAGTACATGTCACATTTGCCTCAGATAGAATCACTCAAACACTAACAATGGACTTGTTTTTGTGCCAGTTAATTAAACTTGAAATCCAGCCTCAGACCTGAGTGTTCCTGCTAAAACTGTATGTCCAGGGTCCAGAGACTGATGAGGAGGAGGAGTCCGAGTTTACCGTGACAGAGCTGAAGGAGCGCGCCCGAAAGCAAAGAGAGGAGCTGGAGAAGAGGATGATGGGAGCAGGTTCAGACGATGAAGAGGAGGAGGAGGAGGAGGAGGAGGAGGAAGGAGAGAATGGGGAAGAGCAGAAGAACCAGAGCAAACCCTTCAAAGGCGACTCCGGCTGCTCCTGGGGCATCAGTGAGTCGTGACGTCAGAGAAACAAATAATAGTTTAATTATTTCATATTAGAGGGTGGATAGCACTCTCGCCTCTCAGCAAGAAGGTCCTGGGTTCGAATCCCGGTCGGACCAGGGCCTTTCTGAGTGGAGTTTGCATGTTCTCCCCGTGTCTGCGTAGGTTTCCTCCGGGTACTCCGGTTTCCCCTACCACTAAAAATATGTACAATAGGTTCTGGCATGTTCCTCCTGTTCTGGCGACCCCCCACTGCCAAAAAAAAAATCACAATTGTAAACCGCTTTGAGACTCCGATGTGCAGTGAAAAGGCGGTATATAAATAAATAAAATAAAGATTACTTACTTACTAATTGTGGATTATTTTAGTTGATGACGCCGTCGCTGAAGATGAAAACGAGGAGAACCCTTTTTCAACTGAATTCCACGAGGATCAGGAAGCGGCGTATCTAAAAGACCCGAAGAAGACACTGCAGGGATTCTACGACAGAGAAGGTTTGGGACTCAGCCATTTCCTGTCTAGCGTTTTCGGTCTTGTGAGAATTTAATTTTTTGTCTTAGTTGCAAAATTCTGGGAATGGGAATTTATCTGGAATTTATGCGGAGAGAAAAAAACAGGAGTAAACTTAGAATCTTCCAAATTGAAGTCTGGCTTTTTATAGATAACTTAATAATAAAGTATAAACAGACGCCATTAAAAATATCTTTGAATTCAATTTCTTAATCATATGTCCATAACACACTCCCCACTGCAGGGCCTTCATCCCCACCGCTGTCAGACTGTACAATAAGTCACTTTGACCCACACAAGGACTGAAGAACCAGCTGCTATTGTACATAATTATATCCTGCACAGACTATATTTTTAACCTTTAACATGTTTCACACTTCTGTCCTTTGCACAAGAAGACAGGATAAGATAAAAATATGTCTCATCTTATCTTGAGAGCACGCCCCCTACTGGCACTGCGCATGTCTGCATCTCCATCACATGTTTGTCCAGCTTAACTTCCCATTAAAATGTATAGAAACTTTCCAGAAATTTACCCGAGCAGCAGGAAAAACAAATCTCAATCTTCTCGTTCATATTGATCCATCTCGATTGTATTGAAGCTCAGTATGTGACCAACACCATGGGGAGCCTCTTGATGGTCCACAATGAAAACTAAGCCAAACATAGAAAGGTGAATAGAGGCTCCTTTTGCACTGGATAGCACTCTCGCTTCTCAGCAAGAAGGTCCTGGTTAGTGGGCCTTTCTGAGTGGAGTTTGCATGTTCTCCCCGTGTCTCCGTAGGTTTCCTCCGGGTACTCCGGTTTCCCCTACCACTAAAAACATGTACCATAGGTCTGTGTGGAGAGAGAGACTAATGCCCACAATTGTAAACCGCTTTGACTCTGGTCTGAGAAAGGCGCTATATAAATAAATATTGCCAACTTACTAAATCTGTTTTTATCACAGGTGAAGAGTTAGACTTTGAGTACGAGGAGAAAAACTCGGGAACATGGCTTTGCAGAATAAAGTAAGAAACAAAAATGTGTGAATGTAAACGTTTCCTGCGGCGTGTTTTAAGTGTCTCTCTCTGTCAGACTCCCGGTGGACGATGCCAAAGGACGGCAGCTGGTGGCAGAGGTGACCAGCACCGGCAAGAAGAAGGAGGTGATGGTTCAGTGTTGCCTGGAGGCCTGTCGGATGCTGGAGGCCCGAGGACTGCTGCGACAGGAAGCAGGTGGGACATGACGACTCCAGCATCAACCACACACTTCAATTCAATTCTACTGCATTTATAGAGCACTTTAAAACAACGACCAAAGTGCTGGACACACGTCTAAAAACACAAAGTAATATAGAAACGTATACAAGAATACAAATGGCTTTGGGATGGGAGTCAATAAGCTTGTCTTCTTCCCACTCCTTTTCGAGCTAGAATGTTAATTATTTTTATTTTATTTTTTCTGGCTTTTGTGCCTGTGTTGTGTGTTGTGTAGCTCGAAATAAAAAATGAAATTAATAAAAAAATAAAAATTAAAAGCCAAAGTAAAAAGATGAGTCTTAAGAAGTGACTGAAAACAGGAAGTGGGTCCTCCAGTCTAATATGCAGAGGCAGGACCATGGATCTATTATAACTGGATAGGGTGTTACAGCTTGGAGCTGAAGAACCATGTGCTCGAGGTTCTCGCGGTACTGCAGACTAGACCAGACGACATTCACGTGGGCTACCCAGACATTTTCTCCATAGAACTCAATGTAAACTAAAACAGCTTGACCTCAGCTGACAGAGAACCTGACAGAGAACCTGACAGAGAACCTGACAGAGAACCTGACAGAGAACCTGACAGAGAACCTGACAGAGAACCTACAGCTTTCATAAAGATCAGATTTTGTGGGGATGTTAGTGTCCCTTGTCGTCTTGAACTTTTTTCTTCTTAAATCCTTCCGTTTTCTTTAAATCCACACTTTACTGCCACAAACTCTGCTCCTTTCCTTCCCGCTCTGACTCCGCCCTGATCAGCTCTGATTGGTCAGAACACTGCCCTCTGATTGGTCAGAGCGCGGCCGAGCCCCTCTGTGCACGTGCACGAGAGCCACACACGCATATTTGGCGCAAAGCATCATGGGAGCTCGTCCACTGCGCAGAACCAGGAGGACCAGACGATGCCCAAATACAGGCCAGTTTCCCATAGATCTTTGCAAGTTCCAGGCGACTTCCGCTAATCTTCCGGGGCCCGTGCCGGCAACAATGCGCCTCTGAGCACAAACCATTCATTTGAATACGGCGCCATCTTGGATCGCCGGGGCTTGGGCAGAACTTCCACAGTCTGGGAGCCCTCTCGACTTCTTTCAGAATCTTTTTATTGCCATGTGAGTAACAGGAAGTCACAAACTAGGAATTTTCTTTGGCTCTCGGTGCAAACAAGTTAAAGCAGAATAGAACAAAATCAAAGGCATAAATAAAAATGTACGTAAATGTTCTGGTCTTTGGGATCATTAAAAGAGCCTGGTCAGCTGATCTTAGAGCCCGTGAACACTTAATAACTGAATCTTAACATCAAAACGAAGGTGCACAGGGGGTGAAGGGGAACGAAGAACAAAGGGATTACAGCGAAATGTTGTGTTTGATGTCCAGTGTCTCGGAAACGCAAGAAGAAAAACTGGGAGGATGAGGACTTCTACGACAGCGACGACGATACCTTCCTGGACCGGACCGGAACAGTGGAACGGAAGAGGCAGGAGAGGATGAAGAAGGCCGGGAAGATAGCGGAGCGCGCCGAGACCTACGAGACGCTGGTGAGCTACGTCTGTGGTCGTTTCAGAACACGCCTGTATTTCACTGCATTTTAATGATGTAATGCAGTAATACACAGGGCTGCACGATATATCGAGAAAATATTGTTATCGCGATATTGGTACGTGCAGTATTCCTATTTCCCTTTTATTAAATACAACAAAACAGACACCTCAGCATTCAGCAAGATTAAGTTTATGAATATATGCATTTGAATGTCATTAAAGCTGCACTAACTGACTTTATTTTTGTATTCAATACGAAAGTGCTATCCATGTCCATGTAGTGCATTGGGATATACGTCCTTTTGAAGAAAAAGTAGCGCAGATTTGTGCTGGCCTGACATTATATTTTAGATCGAGTTTTGATGAAACAAGGAAGAGAATGTGTTTCGGGTCGCAGATTGTGACCAATCACAGCGGACCACTAGCCCCCACTTTCGTGAGAAATCTACAGGTCCGTTAGCACAGACAGCTGAGTTAGCACAACAAGCGGCGGAGCTAACCTGAAGCTTCCTCGTCTTCATCACCGGTTACTGCTTACTCAGCGAAACAGCCAAAAGAAAGTCTCGTTCCTCCGCGCTTCCCGGTTCTATCGTTCTATGGTCACGCCATCCACGTGCAAATCCATATCCATGTATTATCCATATTGGGAGACGCTAGCTCCGTCAACAACAGTGTGTGTGTGGGGGGCGATAGCTTCGTGGGTGCGGGGAGGGGAGCAGAAAGAGAGAGGCCAGAGAGTCTGCGGCTTCAAAATCCCAAAGTCAGTTAGTGCAGCTTTAATAACGTTTCAATGCAGATGTAATTTTAGGTGAAAGACAAAAGTATGACACTAATATCGTTATCGTTACTGAACACTCAAATCGAATATCGCTCTAATTTCCCAACATCGTGCAGCCCTAGAAAGATTTAAAATCGAAAATGCAAATGCTGCTTAGACTTTCTGTCATTCATTTGAAGTTCCAAGGCTTTAATAAAGTCATAAAGTAAACCATGACCGAGCACATTTTGAAAACATGTAATGGCCGGACAATTTTCTATATTTTTATCTGTATTTGGACTAGGGCCTAATACACCGATATTAGAAATTAGTGCTTAGTATTTTGATAACGATATTATTGCAATATTTTTGTCTTTCACCTAAAATTGCAAATAACAAAAAATAAGCCCAACATTAATGACATTAAAATGCATATATTTATTTACTTGTTTGTTTGTTGTTCTTGTTGAATGTTGATGTCTGTTTTGTTTTGTATGAAGGAAAAAAATACAAAATAATACTGTTTTTTTTATTGTGCATCTTTTTGATATGGACATCGCACGCACCAATATCGCGATAACGATATTTTTTCACTATATCGTGCAGCCATAATTTGGACGTTGAATTCTAATTGACATAAAACCTTTTTGTTGCATTAAAATCTGTCTCATGTGCTTCTAGTTTTACCTTTTGGTCTTGTCTTCTCTCAGTTGATGAAACTCGCAGGAGTTGAAAAGGAATTGGAAGAATCTCAGAAAAAGCTCGACTCTGAAAGAAAAGGTGAGTCCGATGTCTGAGGACCCTGAGGACCCTGAGGACCCTGAGGACCCTGAGGACCCTGAGGACCCAGAGGACCCAGAGGACCCAGAGGACCCAGAAGGACCCAGAAGGACCTTGAGGACCCAGAGGACCCAGAAGGACCCAGAAGGACCCAGAAGGACCCAGAAGGACCCAGAAGGACCCAGAAGGACCCAGAAGGACCCAGAAGGACCCAGAAGGACCGTAGTTTAGTGCTGTCCAGGGTCTGAACCATTCACCTTCTGCTTCTCTGTCAGGCTCCTCTGGCTCCACGGCGGAGGACCCTCTGGACGCCTTCATGACGGCCGTTCGGAGCGAGGCAGCGATGGACAACGTAGAGCGCCGTAAACTCCACGTTCATGTTGCTGATCTCAGAAAAGAGGTTCAGAGACTTCGCAAACTTGTGGAACTCACACGACCCGCTCAGCTACCGTCACTCCTGCCAAGGTATTTATTTATTTATTTATTTATTTATAAAGGCAAACAGGATATTTCTCTCATCTGCAGTGCCTGGACCGGTGCACAGTCTCCCTGAAGATAATAACAGGAAAAGACATACAATAATAAAATGCAGAAAAACTTTTAAATATGAATGGACAGGACCAGATGTAGCCTCAAAAAAGAAATCAGAAATATTTTGGAGCGGACCAATAGAAAGAAACCAAAAGGATGCGTTATTTTCGTCTGTATCTGTCTGAGTTGTATTTTCTAAAACTCCTACAATGTCTGAACCGAAAACCCTCAAAGTGACAATTCCAGGTTTGCCACTCGCCAGTTGTGGCAAAGAAGAGAACATCAGAGGAAAAGGTGTTGTAGAAGAAGACTCTGTAATGCTACAGTCCAGTTTAGCTAAGTGCTAGTTTGTCAGTGGAAGCTAGCATGTGTCAACTATAGCGGCTAATCACTCACAGACTTGAGCCTAATGTAGTTTCATACTTTCACATTTCAAGCTGAGGCTTCGTCACAGACTGTGTTATTACAGAAACAGCTTCATGTGCAGGGGTTGGGTTTGGTGGAGGACACAGGGGAGTGGTTTTGACTCGATGCTACTCGGATGCTAATGCTAAAAGCTAACATGAATCCTTTACTGGACCTTTTAATATTTAATCATTATATCTTGTTCATTCATTTCTATATGTTTTGTTTTTTGTCTGATGGCAACAGTAGTTCAGACCCTGGAAAGGCCAAAAAGACCCTTCCTCTTTTCGGAGCGATGAAAGGCGGGAGTAAATTCAAGCTGAAGACCGGTACCATTGGAGTAAGAGCTGCTCCACACGCACACACGCACACACGCACACACGCGCACACGCACACGCACTAATAAACTAGACACGCACTAATAAACTAGACACGCACTAATAAACTAGACACGCACTAATAAACTAGACACGCACTAATAAACTAGACACGCACTCATAAACTAGACACACACTAATAAACTAGACACACACACACGCACACACGCGCACACGCACTAATAAACTAGACACGCACTAATAAACTAGACACGCACTAATAAACTAGACACGCACTAATAAACTAGACACGCACTAATAAACTAGACACGCACTAATAAACAAGACACGCACTACGCACTAATAAACAAGACACGCACTACGCACTAATAAACTAGACACGCACTACGCACTAATAAACTAGACACGCACTAATAAACTAGACACGCACTAATAAACTAGACACGCACTAATAAACTAGACACGCACTAATAAACTAGACACACACTAATAAACTAGACACGCACTAATAAACTAGACACGCACACACACACACACACACACACTAATAAACAAGACACGCACTAATAAACTAGACACGCACTAATAAACTAAACATGCACTAATAAACTAGACACGCACTAATAAACTAGACACGCACTAATAAACTAGACACGCACTAATAAACTAGACACGCACTAATAAACTAGACACGCACTAATAAACTAGACACGCACTAATAAACTAGACACGCACTAATAAACTAGACACGCACTAATAAACTAGACACGCACTAATAAACTAGACACGCACTAATAAACTAGACACGCACTAATAAACTAGACACACACTAATAAACTAGACACGCACTAATAAACTAGACACACACTAATAAACTAGACACACACACACACACACTAATAAACAAGACACCACACTAATAAACTAGACACACACACACACACACACTAATAAACTAGACACGCACTAATAAACTAGACACACACTAATAAACTAGACACGCCCTAATAAACTAGACACGCACTAATAAACTAGACACACACTAATAAACTAGACACGCCCTAATAAACTAGACACGCACTAATAAACTAGACACGCACTAATAAACTAGACACGCATTAGTAAACTAGACACGCACTAATAAACTAGACACGCATTAATAAACTAGACACGCACTAATAAACTAGACACGCATTAATAAACTAGACACGCACTAATAAACTAGACACGCACTAATAAACTAGACACGCACTAATAAACTAGACACGCACTAATAAACTAGACACGCACTAATAAACTAGACACGCACTAATAAACTAGACACGCACTAATAAACTAGACACACACTAATAAACTAGACACACACACACACACACTAATAAACAAGACACCACACTAATAAACTAGACACACACACACACACACACACACTAATAAACAAGACACCACACTAATAAACTAGACACACACACACACACACTAATAAACTAGACACGCACTAATAAACTAGACACGCCCTAATAAACTAGACACGCACTAATAAACTAGACACGCACTAATAAACTAGACACACACTAATAAACTAGACGCACACACACACACACTAATAAACAAGACACCACACTAATAAACTAGACACACACACACACACACTAATAAACAAGACACCACACTAATAAACTAGACACACACACACACACACTAATAAACTAGACACGCCCTAATAAACTAGACACGCCCTAATAAACTAGACACGCACTAATAAACTAGACACGCCCTAATAAACTAGACACGCCCTAATAAACTAGACACGACACGCACTAATAAACTAGACACACACTAATAAACTAGACACACACACACACACACACACACACTAATAAACAAGACACCACACTAATAAACTAGACACACACACACACACACTAATAAACTAGACACCACACTAATAAACTAGACACACACACACACACACTAATAAACTAGACACGCCCTAATAAACTAGACACGCCCTAATAAACTAGACACGCACTAATAAACTAGACACGCACTAATAAACTAGACACGCACTAATAAACTAGACACGCACTAATAAACTAGACACGCACTAATAAACTAGACACGCACTAATAAACTAGACACGCACTAATAAACTAGACACGCACTAATAAACTAGACACGCACTAATAAACTAGACACGCACTAATAAACTAGACACGCCTAATAAACTAGACACGCACTAATAAACTAGACACGCACTAATAAACTAGACACGCACTAATAAACTAGACACGCACTAATAAACTAGACACGCACTAATAAACTAGACACGCACTAATAAACTAGACACGCATTAATAAACTAGACACGCACTAATAAACTAGACACGCATAATAAACTAGACACGCACTAATAAACTAGACACGCACTAATAAACTAGACACGCACTAATAAACTAGACACGCACTAATAAACTAGACACACACTAATAAACTAGACACACACACACACACTAATAAACAAGACACACACACTAATAAACTACACACACGCACTAATAAACTAGACACGCACTAATAAACTAGACACGCACTAATAAACTAGACACGCACTAATAAACTAGACACGCACTAATAAACTAGACACGCACTAATAAACTAGACACGCACTAATAAACTAGACACGCACTAATAAACTAGACACGCACTAATAAACTAGACACACACTAATAAACTAGACACACACACACACTAATAAACAAGACACCACACTAATAAACTAGACACACACACACACACACTAATAAACAGACACACACTAATAAACTAGACACACACACGCACTAATAAACTAGACACGCACTAATAAACTAGACACGCACTAATAAACTAGACACGCACTAATAAACTAGACACGCACTTAATAAACTAGACACGCACTAATAAACTAGACACGCACTAATAAACTAGACACGCACTAATAAACTAGACACGCACTAATAAACTAGACACGCACTAATAAACTAGACACCACTAATAAACTAGACACCACTAATAAACTAGACACGCACTAATAAACTAGACACACACACATAACTAGACACGCACTAATAAACTAGACACGCACTAATAAACTAGACACGCACTAAACACACACGCACTAATAAACTAGACACGCACTAATAAACTAGACACGCACTAATAAACTAGACACGCACTAATAAACTAGACACGCACTAATAAACTAGACACGCACTAATAAACTAGACACGCACTAATAAACTAGACACGCACTAATAAACTAGACACGCACTAATAAACTAGACACGCACTAATAAACTAGACACGCACTAATAAACTAGACACGCACTAATAAACTAGACACGCACTAATAAACTAGACACGCACTAATAAACTAGACACGCACTAATAAACTAGACACGCACTAATAAACTAGACACGCACTAATAAACTAGACACGCACTAATAAACTAGACACACACTAATAAACTAGACACACACACACACACACACACTAATAAACAAGACACCACACTAATAAACTAGACACACACACACACACACACACTAATAAACTAGACACGCACTAATAAACTAGACACGCACACTAATAAACTAGACACGCCTAATAAACTAGACACGCACTAATAAACTAGACACGCATTAATAAACTAGACACGCATAATAAATAACACGCACTAATAAACTAGACACGCACTAATAAACTAGACACGCACTAATAAACTAGACACGCACTAATAAACTAGACACGCACTAATAAACTAGACACGCACTAATAAACTAGACACGCACTAATAAACTAGACACGCACTAATAAACTAGACACGCACTAATAAACTAGACACGCACTAATAAACTAGACACACACACACACACACTAATAAACAAGACACACACACACACACACACTAATAAACTAGACACGCACTAATAAACTAGACACACACTAATAAACTAGACACGCCCTAATAAACTAGACACGCACTAATAAACTAGACACGCACTAATAAACTAGACACACTAAATAAACATACACCACACATAACAGACACGCACTAATAAACTAACACCACTAAAAACACAGACATAATAAACTAGACACGCACTAATAAACTAGACACGCACTAATAAACTAGACACGCACTAATAAACTAGACACGCACTAATAAACTAGACACGCACTAATAAACTAGACACGCACTAATAAACTAGACACGCACTAATAAACTAGACACGCACTAATAAACTAGACACACACACACACACACTAATAAACAAGACACACACACACACACACACTAATAAACAAGACACCACACTAATAAACTAGACACACACACACACACACACGCACTAATAAACTAGACACGCATTAATAAACTAGACACGCACTAATAAACTAGACACGCACTAATAAACTAGACACGCACTAATAAACTAGACACGCACTAATAAACTAGACACGCACTAATAAACTAGACACGCACTAATAAACTAGACACACACTAATAAACTAGACACACACACACACACACACTAATAAACAAGACACCACACTAATAAACTAGACACACACACACACACACACACACACACACTAATAAACAAGACACCACACTAATAAACTAGACACACACACACACACACGCACTAATAAACTAGACACGCACTAATAAACTAGACACGCACTAATAAACTAGACACGCACTAATAAACTAGACACGCACTAATAAACTAGACACGCACTAATAAACTAGACACGCACTAATAAACTAGACACGCACTAATAAACTAGACACGCACTAATAAACTAGACACGCACTAATAAACTAGACACGCACTAATAAACTAGACACGCACTAATAAACTAGACACGCACTAATAAACTAGACACGCACTAATAAACTAGACACGCATTAATAAACTAGACACGCACTAATAAACTAGACACGCACTAATAA